TCCTATTTTCAAAGGGGAAAAAAAAGACCCTTGGAAGCTCCAGAAAGCTGAGGGGTGAAGTGTTTCTCTATGTAAGAGTCCTAGCTGTCCTGGAACTCACTCTGTAGGCCAGGCTGGTCTCAAACTCACAGAGATCCGTCTGCCTCTGCCTCCCAAGCCCTGGGATTAAAGGCATGTGCTACCACCACCCAGCTCCCGAGAGTCTTTTTTTGATAGTTTTGAACCTGCTCTTTCCCTTTCAGAGCAGAGCAGACCACCTCCTTCCCTGGGGCCTCCTCGTGGGTGCTCCTCATGGATATCTCTGCTCTTGACCCCATGTGTATGATGTGTCTTCTTGGATCATTGCTTGCTCCGATTTAGGGACCTCTGATTGATTGATGATGCTATTTCCTGCCTCTCTCCAACCACCCCATTGCTGGTTGGTGTGGGCAACTCAGAAATTGTGTCCAGACTCATCCAGAAAAGAATGGGCCCCAACTGGAAGATAGGACTCTCTAGAAGCCCAAGTGCTTCCCAAGTGGGGTGAGCAATGGGGCCCATGTGCACTGATGCCATCCCCAGTTTCCAGTCCAGCTGACTCCTACCCAGCCTGCCATTGGCTTTAGGGATAGCAGGGTGTCAGTATAAGACATAGAAGCAGGACAGCAGGAGCAGGCTGGCAGGGGCTGACCCATTCGAACAAACTGAAAGGCCTTAAGGTCCAGTGGAGCAAAGTTCATCCTTTTCTCCTTCTAGGGGCAAAGGGGTCAATTAATACCTTAACCCTGGGCTTCCTCCTGCTGTAGATGATGGCTGCACCTGTGTTTCTGTGGTCACTTCCTCTTCCACCTCTGGGGGCACCACATGAGAAACCCAGATGTGTTATGTGCTTGTGTATGTGTATGCATGCATGTGTGTTTTTATACATGTGTGTATATATATATGTGTGTGTGAACAATCATGTGTGTATGAGTGTATGTATGTGTATATATGTGTACTATGCTTGTGTGTATATGTGTGTTCATGTGTGCATACATATGGGCATATGCATGTGTGTGCATATGTGTGCACACTCATGCATGTGTATGTGTATACATGTGTATATAGGTGTTTTTATGCATGTGTGCATACATGTGCGCACATACATGTATGTGCATGCGTTATGCGTATGTATTGTGTTCTGCATGTACATATATGTGTGTATGCATGTGTGTATTATTATGTGTATGTGTATGCATGCATGTGTGTGCTTATGAATGTGTATATGTGTGTACATGCATGTGCATGTGTGCATGACACATGCACATGTGTTTGTGCATGTGTATATGTGTGTGCACATATATGAGTGTCTGTGTACGTGACTATGCATGTGTGTGTTCATGTACGTTTATATATGTGTGTGTGCATGTGTGTTTATTTGCATGTTTATATATGTGTATGTGTGTGCATGAGTGTTTATATGGGTATGCATTCATGTGTGTGCATTCATGTGTGTCTCTGTGTGTGCATATGCATGCATTGTGCATGTGTGTATGCATGCGTGTGTGTGCATGAGTATCTGTGTGTATGGATGTGTGTTTGCATGTGCACACTGTGTGCTTTTTCTGACAGTCCAGCTAAGTTTCCTCTGCAGCAGCATCTGGCCTGAACTTTCCTTGAGACAGTTTTCAGTGTCTAGTTTATATATGTGTTTCTTCTGCTGTCAGACTCTGATTCATCTCAGGCTTCTCAGCCACCGGCACCATTCTTTGCACATGCCAGACACTCAGGCCATGCTGGGGGATGGATGAGTGTGCGCATGGATGGAAGGAAGGGAAGGGAGGGAAGAAATAGTGGGGGGGGGATGAAAGGGCAGACATGGAACAGACGGACACTTCACAGCCAAAGTGGCATGCCTTCTTTTGGCCAGCACGAGGCCCTTATGATGTTTTAGTACCCAGTGGTCCGATTCAGGGACCACCGCTCTCCATCCACCTATAGCAGCTCTGCAGCCTGCTTGGGGCCAGGCAGGGCTGGGGGGGGGGAGCCACAGGAGGCCCATGCACAGGGCGCGGGTAGCCCTGCAGTGGCGAGGCCATCTTGAGCCCAGATGTTTTACATTTGCCCATGTCTACAGACATGTGGGGGTCAAGGTGACATCAAGGGGGTTAGGCTGGGAGGCTCTCAGTCAAGAAGACTAATGAACCTGCCACTTGCTTCTGCCTGAGCCCCAGGCCCCTCCGGCAGATGAAGCCAACCCCAAAACGTACCCTACTGGGACAGCCCCTGCCATTCTGGGCTTTTCATGGACTATCCTGTGCTTCCCCTGGTGGGCTGGCTCAGCTCAGATATCAAAAGCTGCTGTAATTATTTCCTCCCACTGAGGAAGGCTTCCATTTAGCTTTCTCCCCCCCGCCCCTATTAATTATCTAATTATAACCACATTCTCCAATAGAGCAGCCTTTGACTCTCTGCCCGGGACCACTTTAAAAGGCTTAAATATTTGGAGTACTCTGAACTTGAAAAAGGGGAGAGAGGGAGGAAGAGGGAGCTAGCAGGCACACGTGTGTGTGTGTGTGTGTGTGTGTGTGTGTGTGTGTGTGTGCGTGTGTGCCTAATTTTAGGGAAAATTTTAGACTTTCCAGATTGTTGTCCTGATTCCAGGGGAACGCATTTGGGATTTGGGAGCTTTGACAAGCCCCTCACAGAGTTCAGGTCCTGGGAACAGTATGGCTGAATGTCTGAGACCCTTGCACATCAGTGCAGGCGTGGCAGTGTGGTGTGCTGCTCTGGATGGTCAGTAACAAGTCAGATGTAGCCCCTACTGTGGCCGCAGCAGACCTGGCTGATCCCACCCTTAGTGACTTCATCCCCCACCCCGATGACACTTTCAGGGTGCTGTTGATGCTGACAGCAGCTTGAGCCACTTCCTGTCTCCTCCCCTCTGTGGACCACGTGGCAGTAATGCAACCTTGGACTACGCGGTCACCCCCTCTCATTCTGACCCTCAGTCCAGCATCTAAGCAACTCGCTGCACATCCTCAGGGAACTCAAGGTGGGCACGGATGAGTGGTGGAGACCTGTTGTCAGAACCACCTCAAAGACGGGGACATCCCTCCAGCACAGGTGCCCCTTCCCTTGTCTTCTGGACAGCTGTCTTCTGTCCTGTCACCTGTCTATACACACTGCCTTCCAGGCAGTGTGGTTCCAGACCAGCCTTCACTAAGAGAGGACCGTGTATGTATGTATGTATGTATGTATGTATGTGTAAGTGTGTTGCCTCACAGGTGAACACAGCTCTGTCAGCCAGCATGACGTCTGTCGTGCTGCCCATATCGAATGCTGCAGGAAACGGCAGCAGTAGAGGCTGTGCTAGGCAACACCCAGAAGGTTCCCACACCACATCCTAGTCAGAGCAGAGTTGGTAAGCGGGATTTAGCGGCAGGCCTCATTGGCTCTATTTTCACTGATTCACGGGACTTAAAAACCAGTTGTATGGCCTTGTAGTGATAGTAGTGTTTTAACTCAGTGACAGCCGGGTGAGCAAGAAACACAACACAATATACTCTACACACCTCACTGCACATGTATGTCACTCATACACAGCACGCATATGCTATGTACACATGTCACATACCACACACACATTATACACACATAGCATATACCATACACTGCATACAGACAACACATCTTATGCACTCACATACATATACCACATTTATACTATATACACACACACCACACATATACTATACACATACATCACATACCACACACACACTGTATATATACATCACACACTACACATATATCACACACCACACATGCTATACACACACCACATGTACGCTATACACACATCACAGATACACTATACAGACACATCCCATACCACCACACCACACACACTATATATACATCACACACTACACATAAACAGTATCACACACATCATACACATTACACACACACACACACACACACACACACACACATTTTCTCCACTCAACCTGTACACACGTGTATGCCCCACACCATGCACAAAAGACTGTAAATGAACTCCAGGCCTATACAGATGTTGAAGCTATGGTGCTTTTAGGTCTCAGCTTAAACTTTGGGGGAAAAGGGTTGAGATGCTCAAAGAAGTTTTCTGCACATTAATGCAACTTCTTGGGACTCTACCATTATTTCATTTATATTTTATTTATTTCATATATATTATTTCATATATATAAATGATAATTATATATCATTATATAAAGTTTAAGTATAGATTCCCAAGAATTAGCAAAGGGAAATCCACCTGCCTTGATGGCCCTCCCCAGCAGCTGTCTGTTTTCCAGATCCTCACCCCATCTCTCCCAGCTCTGGGCAGCCCACCACCTACAGTGGCCTCCCAGCAGCCTCACCCATTGTGGGTGTCTCTCTCGGGGGCCAATGTGTGGCCCTGAGAAGAATATGGTGCTCTACTTCTGTGGGACAATAGTCTTTTATTCTGTCACTTGTATTATTTTTTAATAAACCCTGATTGGCCAGTAGCCAGGCAGAAAGTAGAGGCATGGTGAAGAGAACAGGAGAATTCTGGGAAGAGGAAAGGTCAGTCTGCAGTCGTCACCCAGAGAGGAAGCAAGATGAGAATGCCTCGCTGAAGAAAGATACCAAGCCAAGTGACTAACACAGACAAGAATAATGGGCCAATAAAAGGCTTAAGAAAGAGTTAATAAGAAGCCTGAGCTAATAGGCTAATCAGTTTATGATGACTGTAGACCTCTGTGTGTTTCTTTGCGACTGAATGACTGTGGGACTGGGCAGGACAGAAACCTCAGTCAACACTGTACTGTGTGGACCCTCCAGGGCCTGGGAACTCTGAGGTCTAGCCCTGCACCTGCCCAGCTTCTGCAGGGTGGGGCAGCTGAGAGTGGTAGAAATGATTCAGGGCCAGCTCTCCATACCCGCAGCCCCAGGCTCCCTCAGAGAACGGCCGTACTTCCCCAAATGTCAGATGCTGCAACATCTCACCCTTTCTCCTTCTCTTTCAGACCTGCCTGCACATCTCAGGCAAAAGTGGAACCGGATGCGTCCGCGGCTCTGACTTCTGGCACCTGGACAAGCTCGTGGCTCCTCATGCCCCCAGTGCCCCAGCTGAGTGTTCAGAGGGGACAGCAACGGCAAGGGACAGCGACCCAGGTTCACATCTTTCTCAGAGATACCCATGGGATGGGCACCAGCCTACCTGCCAGTGACTTTTGTGCCCTCATCTCCTCACCATTGGATTCTCCTCCTGGGTTTTGGTTTTGGGAAGGGGGATCTTTTTGGAAAGCTCTAGATTCAGAAGTGCATTTATAAGGATACGTTGGATTGTATTTCCCTCTAAGTGCCTTTTTTTAATGTATATTTTTAAATAAAACAGAAGTGCATTCTTGTAGAACCTGTTTAAACTGGACCAAGGCTCTCAGAACAAGAACCCAAGACCCCTCCCACCCCAGACCTCCCGTGACTGTTTCGAGGAAGCCTGGAATTCTTGCTCGCGCATTCCTGCTCTTTATCTCTCCATGGCCTGCCCCGCTAGCCGCTTTTTTATATTCCCTGTTCAGTGTATATGTTGCTTATTTGTTTATTTATTGAGATATTTTACCAGCCAAGTGACTGCCACGCGCTGTGTATACTGCTCCACACCCAGGAACAATAAAGAGGCCCGCACAGCCCTGCCGTTGCCCCTCTGTTCTCATCTCTACGCCTGAAACACCTTGTCACTCTAAAGGGGATGAGCAAGGATGAGAGACGTGCATTTGATTCTCCACACGGTACTAGTTGTAGAACTTTCTAGAAGCCAGCAGTGCTGATGTGTGTTAAGGCCAGTGTCGGCAGACCTAGGCCTGCGAACCAAAGTGTATTGGTTCAGTCCCTGTGACAATAGAACGAACAAGCAAACAAACAAAAATGGGGAGCCAACTTGAAAGACAAAATGCTTACTTTGGCTAATGGCTTCAGAAGCTTTAGTGTGTGAGTGGCCAGCCCCATTGCTTTTGTGTCTGTGGCAAGGCTGTAAACCATGGTGGGGAGGAGAGTATGGTGGAAAATCTCACAGTGACCAGTGGTTGGGAAGAAGAGAGAGAGAGAGAGAAGGTGTCAGGGACCCACCGCTGGAGAGGCCTGGCCAAGTTCAAGGCCAGGAAACAGCAAAGGCTCCAAATTGTCGCTTCTGAGCAAAACCTCATTCATGTCCTAGGGCACGTGGCTTACAGTTTCTCCTTCCGGGGACAACAGTAGTCTGCCGGGATAAACATCCTTTGACCAGAGCCTGACGGCGACAGCTATGTGTCACCAGAGGTGGCTGGAGAAGTGCCCGCATGAGGGTGTGTCTGTAAGACCGTGAAGATGATGGAGCTGGCGGTGACCCACTCCTGTGGGCTGTGGGGTCAGAGATCTCTCTATGATGTCCAGGTTCTGTCAAGGGTGAATGTCCTATGGGAAAGAGTACAATCCAGTCACAGGGGTTTCAAATCCTGACACCAACTTGTATGCTCTAAGTTCAGTGACATTTCCAGATGGTGACTACAGAGCAAAAGACACCGAAGGGCCACCACCCGTGCAGTACGACACAGAGGGGAGGCTAGTACAGTGACCACAGGGCAGACATCAGAGAACAGAGGCCAGAGGGATGAGGCCAGAAGGCAGCATGGGCCAAGCCATAAGCAGATCACATGTCACATGTGGGGTGATCCTTGGGTTTGTGGAGCACTATCCATGAGATATAGGGTGCAGGGGATAGAGGGCCTTAGGGGGAAGAGCAGAAATGAAGGGTCATGAGGACAGGCTGGCAGTGTGAAGCCAGCAGACATGGGGTGACTGCATGGACTGACAGCTGATAGAATTGGGGGGGGGGCTGGGACATGGCAAGAGGCATCCATCTCAAAATGGCATCTCTGTATGGCTGGGCACAGGCTACCCAGATTGGCTGCTGAGTGGTTAGAAGGAGGAGGGTTTTGTAGGGAGCTTCATGAAGTTTGGCCTCTGCTCCTAAGGTGCCTTGAAGCAAGAGCAATACAGGTCCACTACCTGGGGCAAATGGGCAAGTATGTGTGAGCTTGTGGGGGTGTACATGTTTGTGCGTGTACGTGTATGGCTGTCCATGTGTGTGGGTGTATGTGTGTGAGTGTACACATGTGTATGTGTACATGTGCACGCACATGTTTGAGCGTGCTTGTACATGTATGTGCACTTATCTGTCCACGTGTGCATGCGTTTGTGCATGCATGTACACGGGCATATTTGTGCGCACATATGTGTGCACGAGTGTACATTTGTGTGTACATGTTTATTTGTGTGTCTACATGTATGTGCACACGCGTATATGTGTACGTATTTGTGTACACATGTGTGTGCATACATGTACACAGCTGTCTCTATGTGGGGTACACATGTTTATTTGTGTGTACATGTGCATATATACATGTTTGTGTGCACGCATGTGTCTTTGTGTATGTCTCTTCATGTGGAAGCTAGGAGTTTGGCAGCTGGTGTTTTCTATCACTCTCCACATCATATACTTATTTATTTATTTTAGTGGCATTTATTTATATTGCATACATGTGAGCACGTGTATACAATGACACACACGCGCAGGTCTGCAGGAGTCAGCTCTTTCCTTCCGTCAAGCGGTGCTAAACCCAGGCCATCAGACATGAAGACAAATGCCTTTCCCACCAAGCCATCTCACTGACCGTGTTTCTTGAGGCCCTTGTCAATTCAGCTAAGCTGGCTGCTGCAAAGCTCTGTCTGGCTCTGCCTCCCCAGGGCTGGGTGTTGGGGTCAGACTTACGCCACCACACCTGAGCTTTTTATGGAAGTGCTGAGGACTCAAGCAGGTCTTCATGCTGGCAATCACTTTCTTGACTGAGCAATCTGGCGTCAGGATTCTTGAAGAGCACAGCTCTGGTGGAAGGGACGAGAAGAAGTTGGAAGGAGCCTTGGGGCCCTTGCTGGGAAGGGCTCCATTTCTTTGGCATGGGGTGGCAGAGCTGGGGCCCCCTCTGAATAACTGGGAGCAGTGCAGGCAGCCACCAGTGATCCAGGGAGAGCATGACACCCAGAGATTTTCAGTGCCGGGTCAGATTCCTCCTGACTTCATGGTCCTACAGCCCTCTGAGCTGGATTTCTGCTTACAGCACAGTGCGTTTTAACAAAGGAGTGTCTGATGCTTCCACCAAGACCAGAAGTTAGAAGATGGCTAGGAATGGCCAGGCTGACACAAGGAAGAACACAGAAAGCTCCTTGACACTTGACGACTTGAGAGGCCATGGCCAAAAGGGAACCTTGACAATGGCTCCGAGGAAAAGCACAGCCAGGTGTAATATTCTTAGAACACAGCTGGTTGTGACCCCGGGGTCATGAATACTCTCCAGGCTCTGGGAAGGCCTCCATGCATCCCTGCGAAGAATGAGCAGAGATGGCTTTGTGACTTGATAAGATCCACAGCACAAGGAAACAGCAACCAGTATCTGTGAAGAAAGGATGGTGAAAACCAAAAACCTCCCCGGGGGCCTGTTTCTAAAGTGAACGGGCAGGGAGGAGCAGAGTTTGGGGTGAACCTCTGGATGTTTGCTGCCAATGCTTGGGGCCACGCAGATGTCTAGGAGTGAGAAGAAATCCTGATAAAGTCAGCACCCACCTCTGAGCACCCCATGCAAGCCAGCTTGCCAGATGGAGGAGTGGGAAGGCCTGTCATTTCATCCTGACATGCTGAAGATAAGCCTAGGGACACCTTGCTATGCTCTGTCTGTGGGGACAGGATCCTCTGGACAGGGCATGCGCATGAGAGCTGCCTGTGCTGCTACAAACTGCTTATCTTTTCTTGTTCAATGGATGGAAGCCCCCCCCACCCCCCCGCCCCCACCACCTCCACCCCGCACCGTGGTTGGGTAAAGGATTCACACACCCCGGGGTGGTTGTGCTCCGTGTTTCGCTTTATAGACTTTCCACAAAAGCACTCCTTCCCTTCCTGGCCTTACATCTTGAAAACATACTGCTCCCTTAGTTTTGTTCAGATTTTAAAGCACTGTTTTGATGCCAAGATTAACAAATGTGACTCTTTATCATATTGGAACTGACCCAGCAATTCACAGATTAAACAAAAGCAGACAAGGCTAAGGAGTTGGAAGGGACTGCGAATTTCTATTAGTTGGATGGTCCCACTGACCTCCAGACCCAGTTCCTCCCACTGTCCATTTTGTGGAATTCTAAAGGTGAGGGGGGGGGGGATTAGAAGACCTCTCTCTGTTCCCATGTCTTCCTCCTCCATGTGGACAGTCACCACACAGCCATCTCTGTCCCTCCCACTCTGCTGATTGGAGGGGAGGGGATCGCTGGACAACCACTTGGCTGCCAAGAGCCCAGGCATGGGTGGCCTCTATCAAAAGGATGAGCTGGGCCAAGCAGGGTCCTCTAGGGGTTTGGGAAACAGAGGCTGCTCTTGTTGGCTGTGAGAACCGAAGCCAAAAGGATATGATTCCGGAGTCAGCAGCAGAGGCGGGGGAGGTGGTGGCATGCGAACCCTAAGAAAACTGGGAGATAGAAAAACAGAATCCGTGAGGAAGCAGAGGAAGTAGGCTGGCAGAGGAGCAGCGCAGGGAGGAGAGATGAACTCATCACCCAGGAGCAGGTGAGGAGCATCTACTGGCCCTTGCTGGCCTCTACTTAACAGGGCATTCTACTGTACATAGGATGGTTTTTGTCCATGTTCTGCAGCTATAACAAAATACCTGTATAATTAGGTCATTTATAAAAAAGAAAAGCTCATTTGACTCATGATTCTGGAGGCTGAAAGTCCAAGTCTGTGGCACTGGTGCCTACTCAACTTCTGGGGTGGGCATGCAGAGGTGGTACATGGTGAGACAGAGCAAACATGCTAGCTAGCTCTCTCTTTCTCTTTTCAGAAAGCCAGCAATGCACACCCTCATCCAGTCCTGTTTACCCCAAGACTTTGCATTAATGTACGACTTTGGGAATTAAGTTTTTAACATAGGAGCTTTTCTTGCCACCTGCAAGCCACACCTCTGTCAACCTCTTAAGTCACATCTTGCTTCCATTGCTACCAAGGAACAGACTGGGTGTAAGTGTGTCCTGACCATCAGGTTTGCTCATTCTCCACCCAGGGCTTTCTAGCCATCTGACACTCATCTGTTCTGGAGTGCTAGTGCAAAGGGGTTCACACACCTGATACAATTCTGATAAACCTGCTCCTCC